GGTTAGTTTGGGGATAGGTGAGCGTGAAGGGTTACCATATTGGCGCGACCGACGCTCGCCTGAACAGGAGCACGCAGCGACTGCGGAGACCGAAGAATCCGTGGCTGTCATAAGATGGGGAGGACAGTAATCGATTATCCATGACCAGATTTTGAAACTTTTCATTAAAAAGTGCCCTGCGACTATATGGCGCGTTCCTACATTTATTTGATTAGAAGACAGCCACCGTTAGGCCATAGCGCAATCATAAATGCCGTGAAGACCAGTAGTATCGCCCTTGCTTATGGCTCTTGTTCCTTTCTTCTCACACGAAGTTTAAGAAGTGAGGCTCTAAAGCAGTTGCTGAGCCCGGCGAAGCCGGGCTTCCAAGAAGGAGGAGAGCTCGGTTAGCCGGGCGATCCGACTGGTAAGCAATAAGATGGGCTTTCGCAGCAATGCCATACCTTTTTTCCGAGTTTTCCATGGGAGCAAGCACAGCCGCCCTTCTTCCACGTTTTCAGTGTGCTATGTGTCTCGAGAAAGGCTCCTTCCCAGAGAACTGCATTGCCTAATAATCGCTCGCCTGCACCCTCTCACCAAGACAGCATGATCTGATTCGTCGTGCCAGAACATTGTATGTCCAGGCCCTGCCGGATGCTGATCCCTCCCGAGGCACACGGCGCCATTTTAATCTAGGGTTTGGCTAAAAGGTGGAATCATAAAAGAGTTCTATAATGTGAAAATGAAACAAGTCAATACGATTTTCAGAAAGAAACCCATTTCTCTTGAAACTAACTTCTCCCAGTGAGACATCAATATCATCTCCTTTACGAAGAAATCCCTGGAATAATATATTTGGTGTACCAACGTTGTGGAATTCACTACGAACAAATGGAAACCTTCTTCGGTTTTCTTCTCTTCTTTTTCTGAAGTTGTTATATCTTCGATCCGAAGCAACAAAGAGGACATACAACACCTACCTTCCGCTCCTCACTGACAATAGTTGGGTCAACGGGAAGTTGAACAGACATTGCCGTCAGACCGACTTCAACACACACAAAAGAATGATTCTTTTTCAGACGGTGTATCATTCGCTTTCGACCGTACCTGTATTCGCCCGTTAGGCTTTGTGCAAAAACCGCAATTCTACAGGAAATACTGGATGCCTATCAATTCATTTTGCGTGGGTGTGAGTCAAGTAGATCGTATGGCGTGTTTGCGTGGGTGTGAGTCAAAGTAGATCGTATGGCGTGATGCCATTGACCTGTCATCACCCAAAATGTGACGCGTCTTCCAAGTGGGGTAACTCGTCCGGATCACCAGTCTCCTGGATTTTCGTTATTCGTTCCTAATTGATTCTGCCAAGCTGACTTTAGCTGCTCCTGCTCCTTTCCGAGGGCCGCTGCTAATGATCAATTAGTAAAAGTCAGCGTTTAGCGATTCGGACGAGTCGTCCTACCTCAGAGGCGCGTCACATGACATCAAGTGGCCGT